GCCAATTCCCACGCGGTCCTGGGGTGGTTCTCAATTTTCGGGATCCCTGGTTCGGTCACGGGGCCGGTGTGTTTCAACAGGGGGAACATTTTGGGGTCCAGGGGGTGTTGGGGGATTTGGTCCCCGACGAGGGGGCCGAGACGCGCGAAGGCCCCCCACGGGGTTTCGTCCGGGAGGGGGGTCACCCCGCCCGCGCCCTCGCGGGGGTGGGCGCAGAAGACCTTCCCGTGGGAGACCCAGTAGGGTCGCCCGCTGGGGTCCGCGCCGAGTTGGGGGACGCGAAGCGGGGGGTTGTGCGCGATTCCCATGCGGGGGTCGTCCTGTTGTGGTGAAGGTAAAGGAGGCAATGGGGGGGGGGGGGGGGGCGCGAGCGAGTGAGTCGATTGGATCGGATCGTATCGCGCGCGTCGCCGCCGGCGAGGCGCGGCCGGGAGATGTGGCGTGGGCCTTTGTGAACGTCCGGTTCGCTCTGGAATGTCCACCTAAAGTCACGGGCGTTCTTTTGCCCTCCAAGCGAGAAAGGTCGAGCGGCGACGCGTCGAGAAAGAACCGCGCCGCCGCGTGATCTCAAGAGGGCGGGTACGGGGAAGAGAAGAAAAAAGCGACGAGAGAAAAAAAAACGCAGACGCACCTTGACCGTCTCCGGCACCGCGACGCACTCGGGGCAGAACCACTTCTCGTCCCCGTCCGGAAGCGTCGCCTTGGTCTCGCCCACGCACGCGATGTGATACGCGCACGGGCACCCGTCGCAGCACACGAGGCTGCCCGCGCCGCCGCACGCGTCGCACTCGTCGTGGTGCGCGTCCTCCTCCTCCTCCTCATTCTCTTCATTCTCGTCCTTCTCCTTCTCCTCCGTCGCGCACAGCTGTGCGTCGCCGGCTCGCGTCGCGTCCATCCACGCGGTCGACTCCGCCGCGGCGGCGATCACGACGCGCTCCTCCGTCCCGGCGTACGTCCACCCGCCGTCCTCGCCGCCGCCGCGCCACGACAGCGCGGTGCGGACGTCCTCGAGCGCGACGTCGTGCGTGGCGCCCTCCGCCGGGAAGAACACCGCGACGCGTCCCGACGCGGGCGCCGGATCCTCCGTCTCGATCGCGCGGCCGTACCACCACCCATCGTTGTGCCACACCTCCACGCGGTCGCCCGGGCTTCGCGCGTCCGTCTTCTCGACGACGGGCGGCGCCGGGCGGACGCGCGGGGCGCGCGGGAGGTACCGCCGCCCGTGCCACGACTTGAGCGGTCGCGCGGAATCCTCGCAACGCATCGTCTCCAGGTCGATCCACTCCTCTAGTCGCCTCGCGTCGTCGTCGTCCTCCTCTTCCTCATCCGCGAGGAGCTCGTCGTAGCGCACTTTCACGCTGGCCAGACCTCCTTTACCTCGCGCCGCGCGCGACGCGATCACCTCCGCGCCGTACCACGACCCGTCCAAGCCCTCGGCCTCGTCGCCGAAGACTTCCACGCGCGCGCCGACGACGCTCACGACGTCGACGCCCAGGTCGACGATCCCGCGGGACTCGTCGTCGTCGTCGCCGCCGCCGCTCGCGCCGCCCGGCTCCGGCTCCGTCTCGTCGTCGCGGTCCTCCCCGAAGACGTTCATCTCGTCGTCCTGCCGCGCGTTGATCACCTCCCTCGCCGCGCGGGTGTCCAAGACCTCGTCGCAGAGGTGCGTCAGAATCTCCGCTTTTTCCATCGGCGACAGCGCGTAGTACTCCGCGCCGCGACTCCCGAGGGGCGCGCGCGGCACGCGCCGCGTGCCTCGCGTCGCGCGCTGCCTCGCGAGGAGCGCGGCGAGGTAGTCCGGCCACGTCAGCGCGTCGAGATACTCCGCGCCGTCCCTGGGTTCCGCGCGCGGGTCCGTCGGCGCGCGGTCGGCGAGCGCGTCGTCGTCCGCGTGGTCGTGGTCGTGGTCGTGGTCGCGGTCGCGCGCGCGCCGCGGGCGCGCGCCTCTTCTTCGCGTCGCGATCTCGTCAACCGCGATCGCGCCCAGGAGCGCGAGGTGGACGTCGTCCACGAGCGCGCACGGGGTGTCGCGCGCGAGCGCGGCGACGAGCGCGTCGAGCGTGAACGGGCTGAGCTTCAGCGCGTGCGAGAGCGCGCGCAGCGTCGCGTGCGCGCCCGCCGCCTCGCCCGCGACGCGCGCGAGATCGCGTCCGGAGCCGCCGCGCGCGTCGCCGGAGGAAGAATCTTCTCGGATCCTCGCGCCGGCGCGTCGGCGGTACCGGCGGCGCTTCCACCCGCCGATCATCGCGCGCAGGAGCACGCCCACGTCGTAGCTCGGCGCCGCGCCCCGACCCGTGCACGACGGCGAGAGCGGGGCCTCGTCTTCAAGGTGCGACCAGCCGTGCGCGAGGTCGAGCGGCCCCGTCGATCGCGTGCGCGGGATGACGCCGTCGTCCTGGTCCAGGAGCTCGACGTCGCTGTCCGCGTCGCTGAGCTCCGACTCGGACGCCATCTCGGCGGCGGCGACCCCGAGCGGGTCCTCGGAGGACGTCGACGGCTCGCGAATGCGCGCGCGGCGTCGCTTCCCGGGCGTCGCGTCCGGGGCGTCCAGCATGAGCGCCCACTTCGGCGTCTTCCTCGCGGGGCCCGCTGGGCGCCCCGCGGCGTCGACGCGTGCGCCGCGGTGGGAGAAAGGATCCGCCGCCTCGAGATCAGATCTCGCGGACGCGCGCTTCCGCTTCGCGGGGTCGCCGCGTCCGTCCTCCGCCCACGCGACGCCGCGCTCGGCGTCCTCGCGCTCCTCCGCGGTCGCCTCCGCGAGCTCAGCCTCCGCGGCGAGCTCCGCCTCCGTCGCCTCCATCTCGAGCGCGCGCCGGCGATTCTGGCGCCAAGGTTTCCTGTCCTCCCGCAACGACCGGAAGCGACTGGCTATAAGATACTGGCGCTGGCGCGTTTCGCGGCGGCCGCGTCTTCCAGTCGCAGTCCGCGGCGCGTCATCACAGGCTGTCGCGCGCGCTTCGCCGGACGCGATGCGTCGATGACGAAGGCGTCGCGCGTAGACGAGGCGGCCGGGGCGGCGAGCGCGAGCGCGATGGCGACGGCGGCGAGCGCGACGGCGCGCGGCGGCTCGGTGACCACGACCCGCGACGCGGCAAATCTGGCGCGAGTCGCGTCGCGATCGGTCCCGCGCGATTGGCACGACGTCGTCTTCGCGTCGCTCGCGCAGGCCGCGGCGACGAGCGGGTTCGGGATCATCGTGTCCACCCTCGTCGTCGCGACGATCGCGCGCACCGGCGTCCGCGGCCTCGGCACCGCGTCGCTCGCGCTCGAGTTCGCGACGCGGAGCGTCGTCTCCCTCCCGCTCGCGCGGCTCGCGACGACGCGCGGCCGCCGCGTCGTCGTCGCGGTCTCGGGCGCGCTCGGCGTCGCCGGCGCGCTCCTCGCGACGGTTGACTTCTTCCTGAGCACCGCGAGGGTGCCGTACTTCCTCGGGATCGCGCTCTTGGGCGTCGCGAACTGCGCGTCGCAGCAGCTGCGGTTCGTCGCCGCCGCCGCCGTCGTCCCGGCGTCGCAGCCGCGGGCGCTGTCGGTGGGGATCGCGGGCGGGACGATCGCCGCGTTCGTCGGTCCCGAGCTCGCGAAGGCGTCGAGGACGTCGCTGGAGAAGGAGTACGCCGGGTCCTTCCTCGCGATGGCGGGATGCTACGCCGCGTTGGTGATGTTCACGCTGCCGCTGCGCGAGGAAGGGCCGGCGGCGGCGAAGAGCGCGAGCGGCGTCTCGGTCGAAGGCGACGAAGAAGACGAACCGCCACCAACATACGAAGAAGACGAACCGCCGCTACCGCCGACGCCTCTGAAACAGCTCTTCCGCTCGTCCTTCTCCGCGAGGAAAGGCCTCGCCTGCGTCGCCGTGTCGTGGGCGGCGATGTTCGTCGTCATGTCCGCCGCTCCAGTGGCGATGATCAAAGCCGGGCACTCGTTTGACGACGCTGCGACGGCGCTGCAGTACCACATGATCCTCATGTTCCTCCCCGGGCTGCTCGGCACGGGCGACTGCGTCCGCGTCCTGGGCCCGGACGTCGTCGCCATCGCGGGATGCGCGCTGTACGTCGCGTGCGGCTTCTTCACCTACGCGGCGGAAGGCGGCGGCGGCGACGCGTCGTCGCGGGACGGTCGCGTCTCCCTGTGGGTCTTCCAGGCCATCCTGATCGCGCTCGGGCTCGCGTGGAACCTCCTGTTCGTGTCCGGGTCCGGGATGATGACCCCCGCGCAGTGTTCACCGACGCTGACGCGCGCGGAGTGCGTCCGCGCGCAGGGGGTCGCGGAGACGGCGTCGTTCGGAGCCGTCGCCGTCGTCGCGGCGTGCGCGGGCGTCGCGTTGGACGAGATCGGGTGGGCGGCGCTGTGCGCGTGTTTGATGCCGCTCGGGGCCGGGTGCGGGACGTACGTGTTGATCGAGAGGGCTAGGGCGAGGGCGAGGGGTGGGGTGGGGAAGGGTGGGGGGGATTTAGACGCGTCCGCGCGCGTGTAGCAGCGCGTCCGCGAGCTTAGTAGCTGCGCGGACTTAGTCTGGTCTAACTTGAGCAGAGAATCTCTCAACGCGACACCAGACTGCACGAACGTTGAGATGCCGGCAGACGGAAGCTCAGATCGCGCGGCGCGGATGACCGCGTCGTCCCCGATGGTGGCTGACATGGACACCGCGGCGGCGTCCCCCGCGCCGACGAGCGCGGTGAACGCCGCGCGGAAGGCGCCGCTGAGCGTGTACGCGTGCATGCGATCGACGAGCGTCGCGAAGCGCGAGGACGTCGAGGCCGCGATGCGTTCGCACGTCGAGGCGTCGGGGGTCGTCCCGTACGAGGAAGGCTTCGCGCTCGCGATCCCGAGCGAGGCTTCGAACGCGTTCCTTCACGCGAACGTCGAGAGCGCGGTCGTGTCCGACCTCGGTGCGTCCCGGCGAAGCATCCCGCGCCGTTTCCCGCCCGCGCGAGCGCGGCGGCGTCGCGTCGGATTCAAATGTGGGCACCGCACGTCGACCGTTCCCTCCCTCCCTCAGTCGACCCTTCCCTCCCTCCCTCCCTCCCTCCGCAGGCGACTTCGACGAGCTCAGGATCCCGGAGGGCTCGCCCGTGAGCTATCACCAGCTCGACCTGCGCGTGTTCGCGTACCAGCTCGACGAGGACGGCCCCGGGGAGGAGATGGACGGCGAGGACGACGTCGCGACGTTTCGCGAGTGGACGCTCCCGTCGCGCGATTTCCACGGCCTGTGGGAGTCTCTCGTCTTCGACTCCGACGTGAAGACTCGACTGACGCGATACGCCGGGAACGCGCTGCTGTTCAGCGAGCGCGAGGTCGACCCCAACCTCATCGCGTGGAACCGCGTCGTGCTCCTGCACGGCCCCCCGGGGACGGGGAAGACGACGATGTGCAAAGCGTTGGCGCAGCGTCTCTCGACCGCCTTCTCGAAGACGTACGAGTCCGCGACGCTCGTGGAGGTGAACGCGCACTCGCTGTTCAGCCGGTGGTTCAGCGAGTCCGGGAAGCTCGTCGGGCGGCTGTTCCAGAAGATTCAAGACTTGTGCGAGGACGAGAAGCAGCTCGTGTTCGTGCTCGTGGACGAGGTTGAATCTTTAGCCGCGGCGAGGAAAGCCGCGGCAAGCGGCGGCGAGCCCGGAGACGCGATTCGCGTCGTGAACGCGCTCCTGACGCAGATCGACGCGCTGAAGAAGAACCCGAACGCGATGGTGTTGACGACGTCGAACATCACGGAGGCGATCGACGTCGCGTTCGTGGACAGAGCGGACATCAAGGCGTACATCGGTCCTCCGGGGTTGCGCGCCCGGTATTCGATTCTGCACTCCGCGACGCTGGAGCTCGTCGGGAAAGGATTGGTCCAAGCCCCCGGGTCTATGGCGCTCCCGGAGGGGTTCAACCGCATCGCGATCGAGACCGTGACCGCGGTGTTGAAAGGGGGGATCGTGAACGACGGAACGTACGCGAACGCGGCGCTGTTGCGCGCGTCGGCCGCGTGCGAGGGCATGTCGGGGCGGGCGCTGCGGAAGCTGCCGTTTTTAGCGTACGCGATCGAGCATAGGGACGGGCGGTGCGAGCTTCTGGACTTCTTGAACGCGATCGCGAAGGCGGTGATGAGCGAGCGGCGAGATAGGGAGAAGCTAGCCATGGGTTGAGCGCGCGTTCGAGCGTAGCGTAAGTTAGGTGTGTCGACGTCGTCGTTAAAAGAATCGATCGTTCGGTGCGCTCTGCTACTACACTACGCGTACACGTGTTGGTACAATTCGAAGGCGCCCCTCAGCCGCCTTCCCCCGTCTTCGACTTTTTCGGCGGCGGCTTGAAGAACATCTCCTCGAGCCTTCGCTGCCGCGTCTCTTTCCCCGCCGGCGTGGACGACCCGCCTCCGCCGCCGCCGCCGCCCTTGACCTCCGCCGCGGTCGAGTTCCCGCGGATCCCCCCGCGCGGGCCCTTTTCGCTCCACCGCGCCAAGTAGGAGCTTAACCCGGCGTTGAACTTCCCTCGCATGCCGTTCTCGGACATCCGCCGTAACGTTCCGACTATTTGCGTTTCCGGGAATGGTTTATCGTGGAGACCGAAGCACCACCCGACGCCGGTGTAACTGCTAGGGTCGCGTCCGTCCAGGCTGTACTTGTTGTTCAGTTCGATCGCGACGCGCCACGCCTCCGCGGGGTCCTCGCTCCACTCCAGGATCTTCTTCGCCCAGTACATCCGAACGTAGTTGTGCTGCTTCCCGCTCGTGAGTAACTCCCGCTGCGCCGCGTTCCACAGCGCGTCGTGCGTGAGCCCTCTCTCGAACTCCTCCCGAGTGTAGCTCCAACGCCTCGCGTCCCCGGCGTGGTCCGCGAGCGTAATCCGCGCCCACCGCGGGAGACCGTCGTACGAGTCGTATTTCGGGTTGTTCAGGACAAAGTTGATCGCGAGCTCTCTGCGAATCACGAGCTCGTCCAGGAAGACGTCCACACTTCGCGCGTGCCGCGGGTCGCGTCTTTTGACCTCGAGCGCGCGGCGCGTGACGTACACCACGCTGATTTGCCCGTAGTGGATGTGCGGCGATAAGTGCGACTGCAACCCCAACCCCGGGTCGTTGCGTTTGGACGCGTAGTCGTCCAGCCTGCGCGACAAGAACACCTCGAGCTTACGATGCGCCTCGGCCTCGCCGCCGGCGTGGTACCCCGGACAAGGCGGGACGCTGAAGTCGACGCCGCCGCCGCTCGCGGCGTGCAGCGCTTCGAGACACGCGTCCGCGCCGTCGGAAAACGGCAGCCGCGGAAACGCTGCCATCGCCGCCGCGCCGCCGACGAGCTCCAGCGCCTCCTCCGCGCCGCTCGCCGCGAGCGCGAGCGTCGTCGTCGTCGCCTCCCTCGACGCGAGCGCCTCGAGCCGCGGCCATATCTTCGGCCGGAGCGTCGCCGCCGCGGGCTCGCCTCTGCCGGCGCCGCCGCCGGGCGCGTACAACGGCGCGACGACGTCGCACTCCACCTCCGTCGTCGCGCACTGAACGCCGCCCGCCACCTTCTCGCGCCACCGCCGTAACGTCCTCGTGTACCCGGCGTCGGTCACGACCTCCACGGCGCGTCGCGACGCGGCGATGACGACGTCCGGGACCTCGCCGGCGAACCCAAGAAGGCGCACCCCGCGCGTTCTCGCCAGCGCGTCTTCGAGCTCGCAGAGTCCCTCGTACATGAAGCGCAGGTGCCGCGCGCCGCTGCCGCCGCCCGGGAACCCCGCGGTGCCGCCGAAGACCGCGACGACCGGGACGCCGTGCACGTTCGCTCTCGCGCACGCGAGCTCGAGGGCTTCGTTGTGCGACGCGCGCTGCGCGGATTGGACCCAGAGGAGGACGTGCGTCCCGCCGTCGACGCGGGACCGAGGCGGGGCGAAGTTGAGGCGTCGGCATCGCTCGGCGGGGACGGCGACGGCGGCGGCGGCGGCGGCGGCGGGCGGCGATCGCGATGGCGGGGTCGACGCCGCGCGCTTCGCGAGCGCGGCGGCTTTGTTCGCCTCGATTCGAAGACGCTGCTCGTCCGTCAGAGGCGGCATGACGAGGTCCCGCGCCGCAAATCTAAATCTCCGCTACCGGTTTCCCTTCGCCGCTGCGCTCGTCGCGTCGTCGTCGCTCAGCACGTGCACCGATTCGCCGCGGCTTTCATCATGCCGAGGAGGAGGAGCATCATGATGAAACCGACGCTGTACACGTCGTTCCCGACGACGCTCACCTGCTGCTCGTGTTGGTTGTCGTTCTCGAGGTGCGCCGCGTGTTGTTCGTCCGATCTTGGGGACGCCTCCGGCGCGCCCTTCCCTGGCGGGGCGCCGCCCGCCATGCTGTGGTGGCCGACGAACGACGCGGAAAGTCGAAGGCGGAGGCGGCCGCGTTCCCTTCGCGTCGCGCGGAGACGGAAGGTCCGGTCCGCGCGGGCGAAGAGTGCGACCGACGTGGTTCGCCCTCTCGCCTTCCCTCGGCTTCGTCGGAACCCTCGGGCGGTCCGCTGGCAGCGAAACCTCGCCCGAAACTCTAAGCCTACTCGTACACGTACGGATAACTGTTTGCCCATAGAAAAAATCGACACGGAATTCCGTGACTGCACGGACCTACCCGAACGCGCGCGGAGATACGATCGATATTATTTTGGGCGATACGATAACGCGCCGCGCCGGGTGCCGTCGCGCACGATGAGCGTCTTCGGAACCGGCCTGGATGCCATCGCGAGGACGGTCGCGCCTCGACCGCGCGCGCGATGCCGCGGACGCGGCGTCCGATCGTCCTCCGCTCCCGGCGCGCGCTCGGGTTCGCGTCGGATAGCGAATGAATCGAAAGCCTCGAGCGCGATATCAACAACGAAAATCGTCGCGGTCCGGTCGCGTCGTCGCGTCGTCGTCTCCGCGTCCGAGGACGACGCGGCGACGTCGTCCAGCGGCGGGAACGGGACGTCGCTGTTCCCGCTCCTCCCCGCGCTCGAGCCGTGGGCCGCGGCGAGGGTGCAGAAGTGGGCGTCCGGGTGGGAGAAAGCCGCCGCGCTGACGCCGAAGCTTCCCATCCCGGTACTCGATCTCGCGCGCGAGGACGCCGGAGAGGAGAAGGGCTTGCTGCGAAAGCTCGCGTTCCAGACCACCTTCGGGGCGTGGGTGTACGACAAAGGATACCGGCAGATGTTCCGCGCGCTGGGGTACCCCGGACCCGAGGGCGAGGCCGCGATGGCGCTTCGAGCATTGAACCAGACGGACGCCGGTCGGCCCATCGGCGGGGAAGCCGCGGCATGTCTGGACATCTCCTGCGGCCCCGGGATCATCACGGCCAAGATCGCGGAGGGCCTGACCGGGTACGACACGCTCATCGCGAGCGACTACAGCGACGCGATGACGCGCAAGGCTGCGGAGGCGTTGGACGCGATCATCGCCGAGGACTCGCGGACGCGGACCGGGCGACTGCAATTCGCCGCCGCCAAGGCGGACGTGGGCGACCTCCCGTTCGCGGCGAACAGCGTCGCGGGCGCGCACGCGAGCGCGGCCGCGCACTGCTGGCCGGATCCGAAGTTAGGGTTTCGCGAGGTGGCCAGGGTGCTCGCCCCGGGCGGGGTGTTCGTGACCTCGACGGTGGTACTCGCCGGGCCGATCAAAACCAAATTCGTCGAGAGAGGACTGTGCGCGGACGCGGCGTCGTACGACGCGAAGGAGTGGAAGCCGAACACGCCGTTCTGGGACACGCCCGCGGTGGTGAAAATGTTAGAAGACGCCGGGCTCGTGGACGTTGAGGTCTTGGCGCAGGACAAGTGTTTCGTCATGGTGAAAGGGACGAAACCGAAACAGTAATAGCCAGCGAACGCGATGATTCAACTTAAGCGAGCGCGCGTCGCGAAACGATAACCGAAGGTTACACGTACGTGTACTCCAAGAATAAATCATCGCACCGCGTGACAACGCGACGTACTGTACCACGGTATCACAGCTCCGCCTTGACGTTGTCCCACACGAACTCCGTCTCCTTCGTGGACTTTTGGTACTTTTTGATCATCTTGTAGTACACCTCCCCGCGTTGCTCCGGCTTGTACGTCGACAACACCTTCTTCGCCTTGTCGCCAGCCTCGTCGAGCGTCATCGGCGGGTCCGAGTGCTTCTCGTAAAACTCCGTGAACTTCTCCTCCCATCGTCTGTCCGCGTCCGCGGGCGCGTAGCAATCGCACGCGCCGAGTCTGCCGTTCTCTGGCGAGCCCTTCTGCGTGCGCGCGTGGAACGACCCGCCGAACAAGCCCGTCATTCCCGTCATGCTGTCCGCTTGCTTCTTGCACTCCGCGCGCTCGGCGTGCGCGTCGCACGTCTTCGCCATGCACGCCTTGAACACCCTCTCGCAAAAATCCTTCGACGTCCCGCACGTGCTGTAGCACAGGTCGTGGCCGTTGCAGCACTTGTACAGGCCGAAGCTCTCTTTCACTTGCATCCCTTTCGGTCCGCATCCGTTGCACTCGAACTTGTACTCCGGGTTCTCCGTCGGCGCGGGGAGCTCCCCGGGGTCGCAGATCGGGATGCCCATGCCGCCGACGCTGCCGTACGAGCCCGCGCCGCCGCCGCCGCCGTCGGTGCCCTGCGTGATAAGAAGAGGAGGAGGAGGAGGAGGAGGAGGAGGAGGAGGAGGAGTTGAACGTGAGATCGTTTCGCGAGAGATCGATCGGGAATCGGGATTCAGGGATCGCGACGCGCGAGGAAGCGCGGACGCACCCCGAAGCCTTCCATCCCGAGCCCGCCGAGGAGCTCGCCGAGGTCGAGGTTCATCTTCTCCGCGGTCGAGGGCGCGACGGCCGCGACGGCGAGGACGGCCACGAGGGCCAAGCACGTGCGGAGACGCGTCATCGTGCGTGCGATCTGTGAGCTCGGACGCGGCCTCTCGCGGAAACGAAACTTCTTCGCGCGCACTGATTTCTTCATCACTTCGTTCGGCGCGGCGCGGCGGGATGAGCGCGCGCGGGTTGACGGCGGGGGGCTTTCCCCTTCGCGGGGCGTCGATCGCCCCGCGCGGTGCAAGCCCGCGCTCGCGCGCTCGCGCGCTTCGCGCTCGCGGCGTCGATCGCGCGCTCTCGAGCCGCGCGTGGCTCGCGCCTCCTCCGCGCGAGCGCGGGACCGTCTCGATCGCGCGCGCGCGAGCCGGGGGGCCCGGCGCGTACGCCCCCGACGGCGGCGCGGGGGGAAGCGACAACGCGGGCGGCGGCGGCGGCGGCGGCGGCGGGGGCGGCGTCATAGGGTGGATCGCGAGGCAGTTCGTGAACCAGGTGAAGTGCATCCCGCTGCTTCGGTGGCCGCGGCACGGGTTCTTCCATCCGAGGACGTGGCTCACGACCGTCGCGGACAGCGTGATCGTCGTCCTCGCTCTCGTCGCGCTGACCGCGGTGTTGGGGGGGGCGGACGTCGTCGCCGCGAAGATTTATAGGATGTTCGTCCCGCCGGTGTGACGGAGGCGGACGCGCCGCCGCGCGGAGAGCGAGAGCGAGAGCGAGAGCGCGAGAGCGCGCGCGGCGTCACGCGACTCGTGCGAGGTTGTTATTTTCGTTTCAATCAGGTGACGCGAGGTGACAGCCACCGAGACGATCGATCGACGCGAGGTCACGTCGGTCGCCTCGGGTTTACGTCCAGTCCTACGTAGTAAACATATCGAGGGAACGCTCGCGCGCGCCCCCTCCCTTAAATCTTTTTCGCCGCCGCCGCCTTCTCCGCTTTCTGCGTGAGATGCTTCTTGTACGCGCGAATGTCATCCTTCCACAGCCGCACGGTTCTGTCCTCGCACACCCAAATCTGCTTCGCGACTTGGTCGATGAGCCGGAAGTCGTGCGACACGAGAACGACGCCGCCGTTGTACGCGTTGATCGCGTCCGCGAGCGTGTCGATGCACTCCAAATCGAGGTGATTCGTCGGCTCGTCCAGAAGCAGCAAGTTCGGCTTTTGCATGCAGATCATCGCGTAAATCAGGCGGCACTGCTGCCCCTCGGACATCTCCCCAATCTTCGTGAGCTGCATCTTCCCGCTGACGCCGTACCGTCCGAGATACGCTCTCCACTCGTCGAGGTCGCGTTTGAACTGCATGTTGTTCGGGTACGTTTTCATGAAGAAGTCCAGCACGGTGGACTCTTTGTCCAGGACGTCCATGGAGTGCTGATGGTACTTCCCGATGAGAAGCGCGGGGTGCCGCGTGACGTTGCCCTTCGTGGGCGTGAGCTCGCCGGTCATGAGCTTCAGTAACGTCGACTTCCCCGCGCCGTTCGGGCCCACGAGCGCGATGCGAGAGTCGCAGTCCACGCCAAAGTCGAGGTCTTCGTACAGGTACTCTTCCTTCTTCCCGCTGTACGCGAACGAGACGTCGTCGAACGGCAGCACGGGCGGCGGGACTTTGGTGCAATCCGGGAACCGGAACGAAAAGTTCCGCTCCTTGATCACCGGCGGCGTGAGCCCGGCGGCGACCATCTTATCGATGATCTTCTGCTTCGACTCCGCTTGCTTTCGCGCGTTCGCGTACGTACCGCACGACGCGATGAACTGCTTCAGGTGCGCGATGTCCGCCTGCTCCTTCTCGTACTTTTTCTGCTGCACGATCTCGTTGTCCCTCACCGTCCGCTGATACGTGTCGTAGTTGCCCGTGTAGTACGTCAACCGCCCTTGCGTCATCCAGATGATGTGCGTGCACACGCCGTTCAGGAAATCCTGCGAGTGCGAGACGAGGATGAGGCATTTCTTGTACTTGGCGAGGTACCCCTCGAGCCACACGCACGCCTCCAAATCGAGGTGGTTCGTCGGCTCGTCGAGGAGGAGCAGCGTCGGCTCCGCGAAGAGCGCCTTGGCGAGCGCGACGCGCATCCTCCACCCGCCGGACATGTCCTCCGTGTTCCGGTGGATCATCGTCTCGGTGAACCCGAGCGCGTGGAGGAGCTCCGCGGCGCGCGATTCGAACGTATTCGGGTCGATCTCGTCGAGGCGGTCGTAGATGGCTTCGAGGCGCTCGTCATCGGGGCCGAAGTTCTCCATGATGTGCTGTTCGAGCTTCTGCAGGCGCTCGAGCTCGTTCTTGAGCTCGTCGACCACGGTCTGGATCGCGCTGCGTTTCGTCGGCTCCGCTTCCTCCTTTAGGTGGTACATGTCGATGTGGTCCGGGATCGGGACCTCGCGGCGAGCGAGGCACTCCAGGAACCCCGTCTTCCCGCAGCCGTTTTGTCCGAGCAAGCCGTATCGGCGTCCGATCGTGATCTCGATGTCGCAGTCTTTGATCAGCTCGCGGCCGTTCATCCCCATGGAGAAGTTTGTGATCTTGATATCCCGAGCGGTCGGGCGGGACGCGAGCACGCCGGTGACCGTCCGCTTCAGCGCGGACTTGTCGATCTTCCCGGACCCCGCCTGCGCGGATTCCGCGGCGGCGACGTCCACGCCCTTCATGGCTTGCTCCAGCGTCGTGATCTCCTCTTCGCCGCCCTTCTTGCCCTTATCCTTGCTCGCTTTCTTCGCCGCGCGTTTCGCTTCGTTCTCCGCTTTCTTCGCGGCTTTTCTCGCCTCTTTCTCCTCCTTCTCCTTCGCCACCTTCTCGACGAGCGCGGCGGACTCGGCTTCTTCTTTCGCCTTCTTCTCCGCGAGCCTCCGACCGAGCTCTTTCGGGTCCAACTGCGACTCGTCGATCTCGTCCGTGCCGAGAAGCTCCGACAGCGACGCGGAGTCTTTTTTCTCCTTTTCGTACTTTTCCTCGGTGTCGTCAAACTCCGTGCCCTCGAGCGCGGCGGCGACTTTCGCGCCGGCGCCGGCGCCGCGCTTACGCGGGCCCGCGGCGCCGCCCTCGCTGTCTCCTTTCGGCGCCGGCTTCTGCGTCGTC